GTCGGCCGTCCCCGGTGGCCAGGGAGGGCTCCCCGGCCCAGAGCAGCGCCGTGCTGCGGACAGAGAAGACCGTTCTCCTCCCTCCATCGCCGCCCAGTCCCGTGGAGGGAAAGGAGGGGCGCAGCCTTGGTGGCACTGGAGGGCTCCACATGGCCAAGGGGTGCGAGGTGACGGGGCAGTGGCTCGGCGGCAGCGACAGCGGGGACCCCCGGGCAGGACCCCCGGCCGGCGGCAGCACTCACCCCCGGCCCGCGGAACCGGCCGTAAGGAGCCCGGCGGAGCCACGGGCCAGCGAGCACAGGCAGGAGCCGCTGGGCAGCCGCAGGGTGTCGGTGGGCAGCGGCGGCTCCGCTGGTGGCACCGGCCTCTCTGCCCCTCTCCGAGCCGGGGAGAGAGGTGAAGGTGCCGCCGGGCAGCTGCCAGAGTGGAGGGAGCCCTGGGAGCTCTCACGGCAGTGGCCGGGAGCCACAGAGCCACACCCGCCTGCGGCCCCTGCTGACAACTCCAACTACTTGGCAATGCCCGAGAGAGCCCCCAAATCCTCACCAATGCCAAAGCTGCCCTCAGTCCCCTACCCAGGCAGTGCATCCTTTGGGACCCCCTTGGTCCCCAGCCCAGCCAGCTCATCCTTTGGGACCCCCTTGGTTCCCAACCCAGGCAGTGCATCCTTTGGGACCCCCTTAGTCTCCAGTCCAGCCAACACATCCTTTGGGACCCCCTTGGTTCCCAACCCAGCCAACACATCTTTTGGGACCCCCTTGGTTCCCAACCCAGCCAGCGCATCCTTTGGGACCCCTTTGATCCCCAACCTGGCCAGCACATCCTTTGGGACCCCTACAGTCCCCAGCCTGTCCAGTCCATCCTTTGGGACCTCCATGGTCACCAATGTGACTAACTCATGCTTTGGCTACCCATCTGCCTCCAGCCTGGCCAGCCCATCATTTGGGACTCCCTTGGTCTCCAACCACAACAACAAGTCTTTTGGGACCCCTTTGGTTCCCAACCTGTGCAGCACATCCTTTGGGAACCCCTTGGTCTCCAATCCAACCAGTGTATCCGTTGGGTCCCCCTCGTTCCCCAATCCATCCAGCGCATCTTTTGGGTCCCCATTGGTCCACAATGCACCCAATGTATCATTTGGGAACCCCTTGGTGCCCAATCCATCCAGTGTATCCTTTGGGAACCCCTTGGTGCCCAATCCATCCAGTG